TCAAAACACAATCATCAAAGTAAGCAGTATACCTCATGTAAGATTTCTATCCCTTCAATGCACAATCATCAAAGTAAGCAGTATACCTCATGTAAGATTTCTATCCGTTCAATACACAATCAACAAAGTAAGCAGTATACCTCATGTAAGATGTCTATCCCTTCAATACACAATCATCAAAGTAAGTAGTATACCTCATGTAAGATTTCTATCCCTTCAATACACAATCAACAAAGTAAGCAGTATACCTCGTGTAAGATTTCTATCCCTTCAATACACAATCATCAAAGTAAGTAGTATACCTCATGTAAAATTTCTATTCCAAATGATTTTCTGGTAAGATATTAACTAAGCTGTATAAATTATAAACCCACAGTCAATTAACCACAAAATATTGTATATTATAATATCCATTTAAGTTAGTTTGGTAAGGGCCATAAAAGGCCAAAAATAGAGATTTTTGAGATATATTGACATAATTGTTCTGATTTCAAGCAAATTAAGGCCTAGGTAACATAGAGCTCAGGCATCTACAAACTTAATATTTAAGTCAGATGTGTAAAATGTCATATAACAAACATTATGTTAAAAGATCCTTTTTTTGTCGACAGATGCATTCTATGTTTGCTGATTAAAAAAACAAAATTTACCTGTTTTCATTGAATTTTCTTGGAAAATCAAAATGAGTGCTATTAGTGACTTCATGAATAGAATTCAAGTACGTAAATTTTCATCAAAAAGACATATTTCCTATCTAGTTATTGTATCAGCTTTGGTTTGTTGTGATATTGGTCAATAAATCCTAATTTGAAAGTGTAGCTAGAAAAAGGGCCACTTTAGGGCCTTATCAAACTTCTCCTTTGCAGTTTAGTCTATCTAATTATCTGAATAACCAGCACAGTAGTATATCATGCATAATCAAATCAGTAACTAGCAAAGCATTTGACTAATGGGAGAAACAAGCATACTGTTGATATTAACTAAGCTGTATAAATTATAAACCCACAGTCAATTAACAACAAAATATTATATATTATAATATCCATTTAAGTAAGTTTGGTAAGGGCCATAAAAGGCCAAAAATAGAGATTTTTGAGATATATTGACATAATTGTTCTGATTTCAAGCAAATTAAGGCTTTAAGAAGTTTAAAAAAGGGCCACTTTGCAGTTTAGTCTATCTAATCATCTGAATAACCAGCACAGTAGTATATCATGCATAATCAAATCAGTAACTAGCAAAGCATTTGACTAATGGGAGAAACAAGCAAACTGTTGACCTATCAAACATACTGTTGACCTATCAAGCATACTGTTGACCTATCAAGCATACTGTTGACCTATAGTTGCTTACATCCACATCATTTGATGGACAGTTGTCTCAACATCTCCTTATTTTTATATAGCTTCCCATATATTACTCATTGGCAATCATACCACATCTCCTTATCTTTATATAGCTTCCCATATATTACTCATTGGCAATCATACCACATCTCCTTATCTTTATATAGCTTCCCATATATTACTCATTGGCAATCATACCACATCTCCTTATTTTTATATAGCTTCCCATATATTACTCATTGGCAATCATACCACATCTCCTTATTTTTATATAGCTTCCCATATATTACTCATTGGCAATCATACCACATCTCCTTATTTTTATATAGCTTCCCATATATTACTCATTGGCAATCATACCACATCTCCTTATTTTTATATAGCTTCCCATATATTACTTATTGGCAATCATACCACATCTCCTTATCTTTATATAGCTTCCCATATATTACTCATTGGCAATCATACCACATCTCCTTATTTTTATATAGCTTCCCATATATTACTCATTGGCAATCATACCACATCTCCTTATTTTTATATAGCTTCCCATATATTACTCATTGGCAATCATACCACATCTCCTTATTTTTATATAGCTTCCCATATATTACTCATTGGCAATCATACCACATCTCCTTATTTTTATATAGCTTCCCATATATTACTCATTGGCAATCATACCACATCTCCTTATTTTTATATAGCTTCCCATATATTACTCATTGGCAATCATACCACATCTCCTTATCTTTATATAGCTTCCCATATATTACTCATTGGCAATCATACCACATCTCCTTATTTTTATATAGCTTCCCATATATTACTCATTGGCAATCATACCACATCTCCTTATTTTTATATAGCTTCCCATATATTACTCATCGGCAATCATACCACATCTCCTTATTTTTATATAGCTTCCCATATATTACTCATCGGCAATCATACCACATCTCCTTATTTTTATATAGCTTCCCATATATTACTCATCGGCAATCATACCACATCTCCTTATTTTTATATAGCTTCCCATATATTACTCATTGGCAATCATACCACATCTCCTTATCTTTACATAGCTTCCCATATATTACTCATTGGCAATCATACCACATCTCCTTATCTTTATATAGCTTCCCATATATTACTCATTGGCAATCATACCACATCTCCTTATTTTTATATAGCTTCCCATATATTACTCATTGGCAATCATACCACATCTCCTTATCTTTATATAGCTTCCCATATATTACTCATTGGCAATCATACCACATCTCCTTATCTTTATATAGCTTCCCATATATTACTCATTGGCAATCATACCACATCTCCTTATTTTTATATAGCTTCCCATATATTACTCATTGGCAATCATACCACATCTCCTTATTTTTATATAGCTTCCCATATATTACTCATTGGCAATCATACCACATCTCCTTATTTTTATATAGCTTCCCATATATTACTCATTGGCAATCATACCACATCTCCTTATTTTTATATAGCTTCCCATATATTACTCATTGGCAATCATACCACATCTCCTTATTTTTATATAGCTTCCCATATATTACTCATTGGCAATCATACCACATCTCCTTATTTTTATATAGCTTCCCATATATTACTCATTGGCAATCATACCACATCTCCTTATCTTTACATAGCTTCCCATATATTACTCATTGGCAATCATACCACATCTCCTTATCTTTACATAGCTTCCCATATATTACTCATTGGCAATCATACCACATCTCCTTATCTTTACATAGCTTCCCATATATTACTCATTGGCAATCATACCACATCTCCTTATCTTTACATAGCTTCCCATATATTACTCATTGGCAATCATACCACATCTCCTTATCTTTACATAGCTTCCCATATATTACTCATTGGCAATCATACCACATCTCCTTATTTTTATATAGCTTCCCATATATTACTCATTGGCAATATTACTCATTGGCAATCATACCACATCTCCTTATTTTTATATAGCTTCCCATATATTACTCATTGGCAATCATACCACATCTCCTTATTTTTATATAGCTTCCCATATATTACTCATTGGCAATCATACCACATCTCCTTATCTTTACATAGCTTCCCATATATTACTCATTGGCAATCATACCACATCTCCTTATTTTTATATAGCTTCCCATATATTACTCATTGGCAATCATACCACATCTCCTTATCTTTACATAGCTTCCCATATATTACTCATTGGCAATCAAACCACATCTCCTTATCTTTATATAGCTTCCCATATATTACTCATTGGCAATCATACCACATCTCCTTATCTTTACATAGCTTCCCATATATTACTCATTGGCAATCATACCACATCTCCTTATCTTTACATAGCTTCCCATATATTACTCATTGGCAATCATACCACATCTCCTTATCTTTATATAGCTTCCCATATATTACTCATTGACAATCATACCACATCTCCTTATCTTTATATAGCTTCCCATATATTACTCATTGGCAATCATACCACATCTCCTTATCTTTATATAGCTTCCCATATATTACTGGTTAGTCATGATAACTGTTTGGGAACTGACCCAATACTGAAAGTATCACATAAACTGAACAGGTTTAAAGATCCATGAAAATGAGGTCATGGTCAAATGAAACATGCCAGACTGACATGTACCCCTTGTAATCATTCCATACACCAAATATAGTTGACCTACTGCTTATAGTATCAGAGAAAAGGACCTAATCATGTAACTTTAACCTTGATTACTGATCCATTAAATGAGGTCGAGGTCAGGTGAACCTGTCTGAGGAACATTTAGACATTGCAAGGAACACATACACTAAATATTGTTATCCTAATACTCATAAAAGAGAAATGAAATGGCTTTTCCTTGGGATTTCCTTCAAATGTTTATATTCCATAAATATAGACAAACAACGTCAAGGACTTCAATCATTTATAGGTCTTTTAAATCTTTGAAAAAAGGTAAGACAAGTAACTATCTAATTATGAACGATCAATCATTGCCATAAATAAAATCTATTTCAATGAAGTTACAAATGTCATTCAGAACTTGCTGAATCAGACTATTGCACTCAACCTACTCTATTCTTTATATGCAACAAGGCATTTCTTTAGAACTAACATATGCTGAATCATACTATTGCACTCAACCTACTCTATTCTTTATATGTAACAAGGCATTTCTTTAGAACTAACAACCTAATCTATTCTTTATATGTAACAAGGCATTTCTTTAGAACTAACAACCTACTCTATTCTTTATATGTAACAAGGCATTTCTTTAGAACTAACAACCTACTCTATTCTTTATATGCAACAAGGCATTTTCTAGAACTAACATATGCTAAGTGAACAGGTTATAGTTGAAAGTTCGGAGTAAAATCAACAAAATGTGACGAAACATGATCAGACATCAAGTTTTGTCACTCAGAGATTCCTGAAATTTGTTATACCATGTTATAACATTTCCACTATTAAAAATTTAAGGAATGTGTGATCACTAAATATAAACAGTTAGCTGACTCTCAACATATAGGCGATGATGTCTCCATTTTGGAAACAGTTAAAATTCAAATAAATTTTTTGGGACAAATCATAACACAACCTTCAAAATATTATTTTATATAAAATGTGTTAAAATAAGTTTATTATGTCAAGATTCTTGTAAAAGCACTGAAGTTGCTGTAGAAATGTCATTATTTGAAATCTGGAGTGCATTTCTCACACGGTCCTCATTGAAGCCCATGTCTAATAAGTGCTGTACCTACAAAATAATTAAAGAAATCATTATACTATTGATCAAGTAGGATACAAATTACAAAACATACTATAAACAAGATATAAAAAGTTCAGTAGTCTACCTATTATGTGGATATCTTGTACAGTTTATCTGCATTATTTTGAGGTCTATTACAACAAAATCAGTGTCATAGTTATTTTAAACATGAAAATGGAAAAAGAGGTATGTTAAACAGGACACCACATGAAAATGGCTTAAACAACATTGGAGAGTAACAGTTCTCCTTTCTTTCTTTTATATGGCTTAAACAACACTGGAGAATAACAGTTCCCCTCTCTTTCTTTTAAATGGCTTAGACAACATTGGAGAATAACGGTTCTCTTTCTTTCTTTCTTTTAAATGGCTTAAACAACAATGGAGAATAACAGTTCCCCTTTCTTTCTTTTAAATGGCTTAAAGAACATTGGAGAATAACGGTTCCCCTTTCTTTCTTTCTTTTAAATAGCTTAAACAACATTGGAGAATAACAGTTCCCCTTTCTTTCTTTCTTTCTTTTAAATGGCTTAAACAACATTGGAGAATAACAGTTCCCCTTTCTTTCTTTCTTTTAAATGGCTTAAACAACATTGGAGAATAACAGTTCCCCTTTCTTTCTTTCTTTTAAATGGCTTACACAACATTGGAGAATAACAGTTCCCCTTTCTTTCTTTTAAATGGATTAAACAACATTGAAGAGTAACAATTCTCCTTTCTTTCTTTTAAATGGCTTAAACAACATTGAAGAGTAACAATTCTCCTTTCTTTCTTTTAAATGGCTTAAACAACATTGAAGAGTAACAATTCTCCTTTCTTTCTTTTAAATGGCTAAAACAACATTAGAGAGCAATGTGTAAGCAGATCCTGCTCAACATGTGGCACCTGTTGTTTTGCTCATGTAACTACAAACCCAGTGATTAGACTAATTTGGTAGGTCACAATGGGGAAAAGGGGACAAAATTGTGGTTACAACAATTGGAACATATCCGTCCTCATCAGTGAAATATAAAACAGATAATCCATAACGGTCAACCAACTGGTGATGGCCTCCGTAAAATTTAGGAAGGGGTGATTTTAACTTCATTACTTGGAAACTTTTGGTTTAGTAGCTTCCTTGTGACCAGCAACACTTTATCAAGGAAATCATGATAGGAAATGCAAGCCATGAAATATTTTATCAACTGGGAGATATATACTCCATATGCAGGCGCTGCTGGAATGTTGCTATCTAGAAATGGAAAGTTCCAGATTGGGAAGCTGAAATCATCTCTTTTGTCATAAAGTTTTGTTTTCAACCGACCCTCATTGTCAATGATTCTAGATGTAAGTCAAGATATGAGGCAGACTGTAGCTGTTTTAATTTGCTTTTTATGTGTTTTTTGCTGTGCATGTAATGATTTTGACTTATTGGATGGATACCCATATCCTTTGTTTTCCCATTAACTGTAGCTGTTGTTTCCTTTATCTCAAGTTTGATAGGATAGATGCATTCAACATAGTTACCAAACCTTGAATTATTAGTGAGAGGACATCATCTATATAGCAGAAAGTGAAGTTAAAGGATTATGCTAACTCCTTTTCTTTCTTCCTAAGGGATCAATTGACGAATTCGGTCCCTAAACTTATTGGTAGATCTTACTTTGCTGAACATTTTTGCTGTTTAAAATTTCAGTTTATCTATAATAGTATTCAAGATTTTAACCAAAAACTGAGAAATTTCATAAAAATAATTATTTCAGGGGCAATAACTCCAAAATTGGTTTTCCGCCTGCTGATCATTTTTACCTCTTCAGTTTTGCTCTAACTGCTTAAGTTTTTGAGATATAAGCCAAAAACTGCTTTTGTTCCCTATGTTCTTAGCCCTGGTTGCCTTGTTTGTTGGCATACTGGGGAAAAAAACACAAACATTATACTAGATACCATTAAGATCATTCACCACAAGTTGGTTGAAATTGGTACAGTGGTTTCAGAGGATAAGATTGAAAAAGTTTACGACGACAACCAAGTTATGAAAAAGAAAAGAATGTCAACATTGAAAAGTGAAACAAGGCAAACGAGCCAAAAGAAAGAATCATCTTCTAACCTAAAACTGCCCACAAAAATTCATTCTTATACAGGTATAACAAGTGAAACTGCGAGCTACTGCTCACTTATGATACCCCCAGCCCAAATATGCATTTGTTGTTGAGCGATGAATCTGAAAACGCATCACACAGTATAGCTGACTGATATATATGAATTTTTCGTTTCCGTTCTCTAACTTAAGTTAGCCTCAACCAAATGTTATGAAACTTATACACTATGCTTATTACAACAAAATACAGATCAAGTTTGAATTTTGGTGGTGTCACTTTTACTGTTCTAGAGTTATGCCCCTTTACAAATGGAAAAATTGCTGAATTTTTCGTTTCCATTCTCTAACTTAAGTTTGCCTCAACCAAATGCTATGAAACTTATACACAATACTTATTACCACCAAACTTAGATCAAGTACAAATTTGGGTAGCGTCCCTTTACCGTTCTTCAGTTATGTCCCTTTATAATGTTATATGATGTGCAAGTGGGGGCATCACCTGTGTCCCATGGACACATTCCCCATTTATTTGTTCTACAATGTGAAATTAAACAGACCTAGAAAAATCGTCATTATACCATTGCACATGCTTGTCTGTCTATTTATATTTATGTTTAAAATATGACCAAAGGTCATTGATAATTATGTCCAATCTTAGTAAATTTTCATTTAAAAAAAATTCTTGACCTAAATCCTAATTACATCTTGGTTAAGGACCTTTTAAAATCGGTCATGACTGGAAAATATGACTGTTTCTGGACCCTTGTACTGGTACATACCTGATCTTCTGAAACTTCTACTGGATTATCATCATGGTTGTTTCCTGTGAAAATAACAATACATACATAGAATTTGTGTTATATCTCGTCTCACTATTTTTAATAAATACCATATTTCCATACTCCATGTACTCCTTACAACAAAATTATTTTTATTTACCTGTGTAAGTTATTTTATTAAACGGCATTTTGTCCAAGGTTATAGTTGTCTTTCTAATATTGTTTTACACCTCAGCCCCCTTTTTTATTAATTTTGTATTTACATTGTGTCATAGATCAAATTTATTCGTTCAGTGTATGTTCACTTGTTTTTGTTAATTATCTTTTGATTGAGTTAAGCCATTTCAATTGATATTTTATAGTGTGTCTTTCTATGTTGTGATGTTACACTATTATTTCAGGTTAGGGTGAGGTTGGCGCCTGTTAAAACGTTTAAGCCCCCTGCATTTGTTTGCACCTGTCCTAAGTCAGGAACCTGTTGTTCAGTGGTTGTCGTTTGATGATGTGGTTCATAAGTGTTTCTCGTCTCTTGTTTTTTATATAGATTAGACCGTTAGTTTTCCTGTTTGAATGGTTTTACACAAGTCATTTTTGGGGCCCTTTATACCTTGCTGTTTGGTGTGAGCCAAGGCTCCGTGTTGAAGGCCGTACTTTGACCTATAATGGTTTACTTTTACAAATTGTGACTTGGATGAAGAGTTGTCTCATTGGCACTCATACCACATCTTCTTATATCTATAGAATAAATGTTTACATGTATGCCTTTCATGTCCCAAGTCTTAAATGTGCTGTACTTTACTTTTTGTTCATATACAAAAGTTATTGGATTATTTACCTAGATTTTATATCCTACGTTAGTTAAATCAATTAATTTATGTTATTAGATACCACAGACAGTTACTCTATATCTGTAAATTTATGTTATTAGATACCACAGACAATTACTCAATATACTCTTTTTTTTGTTGTTCATTAGAACATTTTGTACTGTTTTTTCTAAAATATAAGTGCACAAAAATAAAGAAACAATTGACTTACTTCTGTGCCTTACTCCAAACAGTTCTTGACCTTCATCAGGTTCATTATCAAATAAATCATTATTTAAACCATTGCCAAATATTCCTGGACCATTATTCTGGAAACAAAATGTATTACTATTATCAACATACTATTATCAACCAGAAACATTTTTTTTTATAGCAAAACATAATTAAAAATCAATTTCCTGTATAAAATGTGATTTTCCAAAAATATCTATAAACTAGAGGCTTTAAAGAGCCTGTGTCGCTCACCTAGGTCTATGTGCATCTTAAACAATGGACACTCTACAACATTGTAGACTAGAATAGAATTAATGACAAAAAACTCTTTTTTGTTGATCTTGTATTGCTTAGTATTTTTTCTGTTTACAGTTCTCTCTATCTTCATTAGTTTTGCCCAAAACAAACTAATAAGGGTAAAAAAGTCATCATTTAAGGGCAATCACTACTATAAATAGTCTACTAACTATTTTGGCAAAATTTGACTTGTTTGTAGATCTTGTCTCGCTGATTGTTAAAGTTTTTATCTATCTCTTATAGTTTTCAAGATAATGGGCAAAAAAGCCAAAATTTGTAAAAATTCGTAAGGGTTCCGCGGAACCCAGTGTCTCGCCTACTTTTTCTGTTAACCGCAGGCTCTACAAAAATGAGGAAGTAAATCAATAAAAAATATTCCACTTGATACTATCTTTTGATTGTAAGAAGCTTCAGTCCAAGTTTGGTAAAAATCCAGGATAGTTTATGAATCTAATAAATGTTTAAAAACTTTAACTGCAGACTGAATGTAATTTTATCTGGAAGAAAACAAAATTTCCTTCTAGATACTAGCATTTGATCTTAAACAAGCTTCTGTCCAAGTTTGATACAAATCCAAAATAGTATTTAAAAACTTTAACCACAGAGTGAATGTGTTGTTTCCTGGCAGAAAATCTAAGTCCATTTAAAAGTAAAATACGGAAAAAATAGATTTATTTTTTTACAAAATTTCCTTCTAGATACTAGCTTTTGATCATAAACAAGCTTCTGTCCAAGTTTGGTTCAAATCCAAAATAGTATAAGAAAGTTATTAAAATTTAAAAAACTTTAACCACAGAGTGAATGTGTTGTTTCCTGGCAGAAAATCTAAGTCCATTTAAAAGTAAAATAAGGAAAAAATGGATTTATTTTTTTACAAAATTTATTTCTGAATAATATCTTATGATCATAAACAAGCTTCTGTCCAAGTTTGGTACAAACCCAGGATAGTTTAAGAAAGTTATTAAAATTTTAAAAACTTTAACCACAGAGTGAATGTAATATTTCCCGTCAGAAAAACTAAGTCCATTTATAAGTAAAATACGGAAAAAATGGAATTTTATTTTTACAATATTTACTTCTGGATACTATCTTATGATCATAAACAAGCTTCTGTCCAAGTTTGGTAGAAATCCAGGATAGTTTAAGAAAGTTATTAAAATTTCAAAAACCTTAACCACAGAGTGAATATTTGTGGACGCCGCCGACGACAACGACGACGACGCCGACGGAATGTAGGATCGCTATGTCTCGCTTTTTCGACTAAAGTCGAAGGCTCGACAAAAATCATCATTAAAGAGCAAGACCTCCAAGACTCAATAATCAGTCGACTAACAATTTTAACCATGTTTGACCTAGTAGTAGTTCTTATCTTGCTGATCATTTTTGCTATTTATTACTTTCGAAGTGTCTATCAATCTATTATAGTTTTCAAGATAATAGGCAAAAACACTCAAAATTTGGATAATTTTGTCCTGGGGAAAACATGATAGCCTAACAAATATTGAGCGACAGATGCAAAGTGATGACTTGAGGCCTCGTAAGACATGTAAGCACATTGTAGACGACAAATGACAAGTGACGCCCTAACATATTCCGTATGATTTTGGGTACGACTGGTGCTTGTGATGACCTCTAGACCTTTAATTAACTTTGGAGGTCCTTTTATGTGATAGTGTCTATCATAGCTAGTGTTGTCTCCTCAATCATGGAACGACTGGTGCCAAATGATAGCTCAAAATATACACAATCATGTGCTTATTTCAAGCTATTGAACCTCCAACACTACAAGTCTCTCAGTTGTGTCTATAAGATGAAGAACCACAATTATTGACCTTATGAAAAACCAGAATCAGATAAACTGACTCGACCTGACTTCAAATTAATATCCTTAACAATTTGATAAGGCTGTTGATAACAAATAGATATAAGAAGATGTGGAATGAGTGCTAATGAGACAACTCTCCATCCAAGTCACAATTTGTACAAGTAAACCATTATAGGTCAAAGTACGGACTTCAACACGGATCCTTAGCTCACACCGAACAGCAAGCTATAAAGGGCCCCAAAAATGACTAGTGTTAAACCATTCAAACAGGAAAACCAACGGTCTAATCTATATAGAAAACAAGAAATCCCATTTGTTGAAAAACTGAAGCTTTAAAAAATCATACGATTTAAAGTCAACAGATGTGAGCATAGAGCTTAAAACAAACCAAGAATCTTTATCAGGTTTTTTTCATCATAGTTAAAAAAAACAAATTGCACACATTTTGACGGCAAAAGGCTAACAATTCTGAAAGTTGAGCACTTATGAATCACATCAACAAACGACAACCACTGAACATAAGGTTCCTGACTTAGGACAGGTGCAAACAAATGCAGCGGGTTTAAACGTTTTAATAGGCGCCAACCTTCACCCTACCTGAAACGATAGTCTAACATCACAACATAGAAAGACTACTATAAAATATCAATTGAAATGGCTTAACTCAATCAAAAGACATATTAACAAAAACAAGTGAACATACACTGAACGAATAAATTTGATCTATGACACAATGTAAAAGGCTGGATAAAATTTAACTTTTATTATATTATATAAGTTTGCCCTTTGGGAGTCAGAATCTCAGCTGGGAAAATCTTGCTCCAGGCCCTGTCGACGACATTTGGTACAGTGGGTAGCCAAGCCCCGTGGACATGGACATGCCGCCAAACAATTGGAATGCAGAGGGTTCCAAAAGGGGATGAAGCGATGCTTCATCTCATAGCAGGGTGCTACGAAAAGGGGTTGAATTGACGGTGGAGAGATGAAAAGTAGTTAATTACTTGGGGATAAGAAGAGAAATTAACCAGTGGTGAATTTCGTAATGGTCATCAATTTAAACAACACTGGGTTGCTGAGAACTGCTCCCACATTCAATGAAATATTGAAGGTGGTAGATTGGGATGGAAGGTGGGTGAAATTGAAAACTTATTCCTGTAGAGTAAACATCCTTTGTATTCAACAGCCAAATCAAAACTGAGAAGCCGGCAGCTTGCACTTGTAATCTGAGAACCTAATCCCTGATCACTAGGCTGACCAAATTAAGCTTGACCTTTGACCTTATAATGGAATTGACTGTCCCATCTCATGGAAGAAACCATTCCTCCTGTATAAACAACACTTATACTCTGTATAAGTAACAAATTAAGAACAAGAAGTCCAATAATGAGTCTACTGACAATTTCAGCCCTGTTAACTTATTTGTAGATCTTGTCTTACTGATAATATTTGCTATTTAAAATGTTTATCTATCTATTATAGTTATAAAGATAATAGGCAAAAACACTAAAACTTGGTAATAATCAGCATTAAAGAGCTATAACTCTAATAACAAATAGACTGAAGAACTCGGCCATTACAAATATATGTAGATCTTGTCTTACTGATCATTTCTTATCATTAAAGTTTCTCTCTATCTATTATAGATTTCAAGATAATATGCAAAATTGGTAAAATTCCTCATTTAAGGGCAATAACTGCTATAAAAAACAGTTTTGACATAAATAGACAATAGGAAGTGCGTCGTTTTAAAAATAATAGACAAAACTCTTTGGTCGGGTTGTTGTCTCTTTGACATATTCCCCATTTCCATTCTCAATTTTATGCATTTTACTCTTATGTTCTAATTTTTTGCCAAATAAGCCATCTTGGTTGGCAGGAGGGGTCAGCGCACACATTTTTTAAACTACATACCCCAATGATGATTTAAAGTTTCGTTAAATTTGGCCCAGTAGTTGCAGAGGAGAAGATTTTTGTAAAAGTTAATGGGCGACGACGGACGACGGAAAACCGACAACAGACGCTGGATGCCAAGTGATGAGAAAAGCTCACTTGGCCCTTTGGTAAAAAAAACTAATACATGGAATCCTCTTTAAGTCAAATATGTGCTAACCATAGAATAATCTATCAAAATATGAAGAAGTATACTACATACTGCTGTTATCTTCAGACATCATCTTTTTACTTCATTTGTAAAAAACTCCATTTCATTTGATGAGATTAAGATAGGGATAAGCTGAATTTTCTGTACATTAAATGCATCATTGAAGGTGAACTTAAATTATCTAACCTTGCTCTGGAATAAACAACTTCTTTCAAAAGAAATAAAAAATATTTTCAAATATTTTAAAATTAACGTCTCTTACAGTCGTGACAGTGTATGTTGTTGATTTCAAGTGACATTAAGTTCACATTCAGAGCAGGTAGAACTTCAAAATCAAAGGTCAGAATGGCGAAGCATTTGGTTCAATTGAGGTACCTTCTTCTATTCAAGCACAAAAGCAAAATATAACATTAATGTCCTATATTATATATCCTCCTAAAACAAAAGACTTTTAATTCAAATATTTCCTTTAGTCTGAAAAGTTTCATCATCTGTAAGGGTAGTTAGTTGTTGGATTGTCATTATCATCAGATATGTATAATCATAATTCTAATAATACTAACCTACAATAATAATTATTGATTAGAGATGGTTTTTCAAACGAGAGGGTGTTTCTCAGTTACAATCTCATCAAAGGGCGACCATTGATAATTTGTCAAGATCAATAGGGCAGACAGCTGTGGTGCTTAAAATATCTGTCAAAACTCACCAGGCTTCCTTTTAAATCATACCAGCCATGCAATTATTTCATATCTACCAAAAGACAAACTTATCAAACTGACCTGGTCTCTGTTTAAATTAAACCATCCATTTTGTTGAGGTTGTTGCTGAAATGTCTGCCATAATAATTGTTGTTCCATCTGTTCCATATGTTCTTGTCTCTGTATTTCCCTGGTGGCACCAATGGGTTTCTGTAGATCTTTTGGTGGATTACTTTCAAACAACTTTTGTATAGTGCATCCAAATAGTTTGGCAATAAATGTTGGTATCCTAAAACTCTGTGCTTTAAAGAAATTGGCTTTCCACAGTAATCCTGAGAGCTGAAAAAGGGTATTAAACAATGACTTCTTCATTAATGAAAATTTGACACTAACTCTAAACACCAATGCACATCATGTTAACCCTATAAATCACAACAAAATAATATTGTGTTAGAAGTTTGAAGTTAACAGTAAAAGTGGCATGTTTTCCTGTTATCTATTCTCAATATGAAGAATGGTAACTCCAAAATAAAATAAATAAATTGCTTCGCCAAGCGCAGCTGGATACGACTGCAGAGGTCCAACCTTGTACAGTTGGGGCAAAAATGGACACAATATTCGCGCTTGATATAGGTCTGAATTTGGATTGTAATTAAATATTTGACACATAATAGGTTTCTGACACAGAATAACTGTAGTCAAAGAACTTAGAATTGGTTATATGATTTGAATTTATATTCGATTTTTTGCTTTTGTGCAATACACTATGCTGTTGCGAATTGACCCCCCACCCCCCCAAAAAGAAATGTGGATAGTGTCCACACGTGGACACAGATTATGACCCCGCTTGCATAGCATATAGTTATAAAGGGACATAACTGAAGAACAGTAAAAGTGACGCTACCCAAATTTGAACTTGATATGAGTTTTGTGGTAATAAGCATTGTGTGTAAGTCTCATAACATTTGGTTGAGGCTAACTTAAGTAGAGAACAGAAACTAAAAATTCAGCATTTTTTCTATTTGTAAACACGCATAACTCTAGAATGGTTGTGTATAAGTTTTATAACATTTGGTTGAGACAAACTAAAGTTAGAGAACGGAAACAAAAAATTCAGCAATGTTTATGTTTATAAAGGGACATAACTCAAGAATGGTAAAAGTGTTCTCACCAAATTTCGTAATTAATCTGTATTATGTATAGTGTAGTAATAAGCATTGTGTATAAGTTTCATAACATTTGGTTGAGGCAAACTAAAGTTAGAAAACTGAAAAAAAAAAATTGTATTTGATCTTAGTTTTGTGGTAATGAATATTGTGTATAGGTTTCATAATGTTTGGTTGGGGCAAACTTAAGTTACAGAATGGAAACTAAAAATTTTGCAATCTTTCGATTTATAAAGGGGCATAACTCAATAATGGTTAAAGTGACACTACCCAAATTCAACTTGATCTGTGTTTTATCAGTGGAAGTCAAAATTAAACATTGCATTGTATAAAGCATTGATTGTAGTTGATTCAACTATTATTATGGACAAAGGAAGATAACTCCAATTTTAAAAATTACTTGATATTTAGAAGAAACTAAAAATTTTGCAGTTTTTCCATTTATAAAGGGGCATAACTCTAGAATGATTTAAGTGATGCCACCAAAATTCAAACTTGATCTGTGTTTTGTGGTAATTAGCATTGTGTATAAGTTTCATAACATTTGGTTGAGGCAAACTTTAGTTAGAGAAAGGAAACTAAACATTTTGCAATTTTTCCATTTATAAAGGGGCATAACTCTAGAACAGTTAAAGTGACGCCACCCAAATTCAAACTTGATCTGTGTTTTGTGGTAATAAGCATTGTGAATAAGTTTCATAACATTTGGTTGAGGCAAACTCAAGTTAGAGAACGGAAACCAATTTTGGGAAGTATGTATGTACAGACGGACAAGGGTAAAACTTTATGCCCCCACCGCTACGGCGGGGGCATAAAAAAAAAAAAAAATACCCCCCTTTTTTTTGCTTTTTTATTCAATACACTATGCTGTTGCAAATTTACCCCCCCCCCCCTGTTTGGCAAAAAAAAAAATTGAAGAAATTTTCTTTTTAATTTCTGAAATCTGAAATGAGAAAAAATTGTACCCCCGCCCCAATTTTTTTTTCACCTCCCCCCCCTTTTTCCAAAAAAAAAAATTCTTTCCCTCAAGATATGGTCATAATCTCAATTCAAATTTCCAATGGAGTTTGCAACCATAATTACCCATTTAAATACATCATAAAAGTCTTAAAATAGTTAACTGTTAACACAGAGATATGTCTCGCCTATTTGTTATTTTGATAATGCAAATGTTGAAATTAAAATAGCAATACTTTAACATGTAAGTTATGCAAATATTCAAAGTCAATGAACCATGACTGAAGGTACAGGGCTAAACAATCTCCATGGAAATGAGATGTGCCAATGCTAATACAACTGCAAACCAAATACCATTGACTTTTCATAAGTCATTCCCTTTAAACAAACCTAAACACAAACATTAACTTGTAAACTATGTAAAAGATTCAAAGTCAATGAACCATAATTAAGGGGTGGGGTTATATAATCTACATGGAAATGAAACTTGCAAATGCCAATACATTTGCATACCGAATATCATTGACTTAACATTAGTGGTTCATCTTAAACTGACCTAATCACAAACTAATACATATAAACTAAGCAAAAGTTTCAAAGTCAATAGACCATGAATGAGGGGTAAAGACCAAATATTCTCCATGGAAATGAGATGTGCCAATGCTTATACAACTGCATACCAATTATCATTGACCTACCACTAACAGTTCCCCTTAAACTGACCTAATCACAAACTAATACATGAAAACTAAGCAAAAGTTTCTAAGTCAATAGACCATGAATGAGGGAGCGGGGCCAAATAATCTCCCTGGAAATGAGATATGCCAATGCCTATACAACTGCATATCAAATATCTACCCAACAGTGTACACCACATCACATTAATGCCTCTACACAGCAGTATACACCACATCACAGTAATGCCTCTACCCAACAGTATACACCACATCACATCACTGCCTCTACCAAGCAGTATACACTACATCATATTAATGCCTCTACCAAACAGTATACACCACATCACATTAATGCCTCTACCCAACAGTATACCGTACACTACATCACATTAATGCCTCTACCAAGCAGTATACACCACATCACATTAATGCCTCTACCCAGCAGTATACACCACATCACAGTAATGCCTCTACCCAGCAGTATACACCACATTACATTAATGCCTCTACCAAGCAGTATACACTACATCATATTAATGCCTCTACCAAACAGTATACACTACATCACGTTAATGCCTCTACCCAACAGTATACACCACATCACATAAATGCCTCTACCTTGCAGTATACACTACATCACATTAATGCCTCTACCAAGCAGTATACACCATAAAATTGAGAATGTAAATGGGGAATGTGTCAAAGAGACAACAACCCGACCATAGAACAGACAACAGCAGAAGGTCACCAACAGGTCTTCAATGCAGCGAGAAATTCCCGCACCCGGAGGCGTCCTTCAGCTGGCCCCTAAACAAATATTTATACTAGTTCAGTGATAATGAACGCCATACTAAACTCCAAATTGTACACAAGAAACTAAAATTAAAAATAATACAAGACTAACAAAGGCTAGAGGCTCCTGACTTGGGACAGGCGCAAAAATGCGGCGGGGTTAAACAGGTTTATGAGATCTCAACCCTCCCCCTATACCTCTAGCCAATGTAGAAAAGTAAACGCATAATAATACCACATTACATTAATGCCTCTACCAAGCAGTATACACTACATCACATTAATGCCTCTACCAAACAGTATACACCACATCACAGTAATGCCTCTACCCAGCAGTATACACTACATCACATTAATGCCTCTACCCAGCAGTATACACCACATCACATTAATGCCTCTACCCAACAGTATACACTACATCACATTAATGCCTCTACCCAACAGTATACACCACATCACAGTAATGCCTCTACCCAGCAGTATACCGTACACTACATCACAGTAATGCCTCTACCCAGCAGTATACACCACATCACATTAATGCCTCTACCAAACAGTATACACCACATCACATTAATGCCTCTACCCAGCAGTATACACCACATCACATTAATGCCTCTACCCAACAGTATACACCACATCACATTAATGCCTCTACCAAACAGTATACACCACATCACATTAATGCCTCTACCCAGCAGTATACACCACATCACATTAATGCCTCTACCCAACAGTATACACTACATCACATTAATGCCTCTACCCAACAGTATACACCACATCACAGTAATGCCTCTACCCAGCAGTATACACCACATCACATTAATGCCTCTACCCAACAGTATACACTACATCACATTAATGCCTCTACCCAACAGTATACACTACATCACATTAATGCCTCTACCCAGCAGTATACACCACATCACATTAATGCCTCTACCAAGCAGTATACACCACATCACATTAATGCTTTTACCAAGCAGTATGTATACACTACATCACATTAATGCTTCTACCAAGCAGTATACACCACATCACATTAATGCCTCTACCCAGCAGTATACACCACATCACAGTAATGCCTCTACCCAGCAGTATACACCACATTACATTAATGCCTCTACCAAGCAGTATACACTACATCATATAAATACCTCTACCAAACAGTATACACTACATCACGTTAATGCCTCTACCCAGCAGTATACACATCACATTCATGCCTCTACCCAGCAGTATACACCACATCACATTAATGCCTCTACCCAACAGTATACACCACATCTCATTAATGCCTCTACCCAGCAGTATACACTACATCACATTAATGCCTCTACCAAGCAGTATATACACCACATCACATTAATGCTTCTACCAAGCAGTATACACCACATCACATTCATGCCTCTACCCAGCAGTATACACCACATCACATTCATGCCTCTACCAAGCAGTATACACCACATCACATTCATGCCTCTACCAAGCAGTATACACCACATCACATTAATGCCTCTACCCAGCAGTATACACTACATCACATTAATGCCTCTACCAAGCAGTATATACACCACATCACATTAATGCTTCTACCAAACAGTATACACCACATTACATTAATGCTTCTACCAAGCAGTATACACCACATCACATTCATGCTTCTACCAAGCAGTATACACCACATGACTTTAATGCCATAACAATACATACCAACCCACATATGGCAACAAGAATTGATTCTTTAGATGTACTGGCAATCTGAAAAATAGATATACATTTACTGAAACAAAAGAAAATAACATTTTTTTGTTGTAAAGATGAAAATTGTCTCTATTACATAACTTTGGAAAAGAATTAACATTACAAGAAAAGAGCAGACATATCTCCATTATCCCCAGCAGTTGAAAGTCTTTATATAGGCTGTATGGTAACCTGTACTTTACTTAGGCTGTATGATAACCTGTCCTTTATATAGGCTGTATATGGTAACCTGTACTTTATATAGGCTGTATGGTTAATTGTACTTTATATAGGCTGTATGGTAAATTGTACTTTATATAGGCTGTATATGGTAACCTGTACTTTATACAGGCTGTACGGTAATCTGTACTTTATATAGGCTGTATGGTAACCTGTACTTTATATAGGCTGTATATGGTAACCTGTACTTTATATAGGTTGCATTTCTGTAAATTTAGACAATGCAATTTCCCATAGGAACTCCCTTTGCAGCTAAAACTGTGACACTTTTACTATGAAGTTTCGTAAAAAATTATATCCTAGAATGGAAAGCTGATATGCACTACTATTTTATTCAAAGGTAAAAACATAGGGCTGTGCGGCATATTTTCAACATTTATATGCCCTGAACTTGTTCGAGTTTTAAACTTATACTAAAATTCTGTACTACCCCTACCTCCACTTATTGCCTACTTCAGAATTCAATTTTCACCGCAACAATATGTTTTTATACTGGTAACAGTACCAAGTTATGTCTCTATGAGATGAAACATAGAGATCTAATTATCTGGGAACCAGTACGTAAACAAATCAAGTTATCTATGAATATTATATATCTCCCCAAAAGAGGCGTGGTTTGAGAAACAGCTGTTTTTACAAAGTGTAACCTATATGCTGTCATTAACGTGTACTTTATATAGGCTGTATATGGTAACCTGTACTTTATATAGGCTGTACGGTAGCCTGTACTTTATATAGGTTAAACGATAATCTGTACTTTATATAGGCTGTACTGTAACCTGTACTTTATATAGGCTGTACTGTAACCTGTACTTTATATAGGCTGTACAGTTACAAGTACTTTATAAAGGCTGTACAGTAACCTGTACTTTTTCATATCCTGGTCCTTTGGTCTTTGGTGGATAGTTGGCAATCATACCAAAATTCTTTATCTTTAGAAATTAAGTTTTTATAATTCTATCTTGATTTTTTCAGAATTTGATATAACACAGTGAGTTGTATGTCTAATGAATGGTATCATTTTTGTAATGATTTAAGTATTTCAAGATAAAACCTTATAACAAACAGGATCATTTTTTGTGCTGATGTTGTTTATCAAAAAATTTCAGAGAACATAAAAAAACACATATATATATATTAAATGGTTTATAGATGACTTTCCAAATATATTCATGTTTTTACATAAGCAACTAATCAGGGTAGATATTGTTTGACTTTCTTTTGTGAACATATCTAATAGGGACAGAACAAAAAAATTGTCCAAAACTAACAAATCATGAAATAATATGTCTGAATACTGTGTAAATAGAAGTTTAAAGAGACTATATATCATGGCTGGAAAGAATAATATCATTAAAATCTAAATATAAATATATTCACTTAAAATACTTCTCATTAACAGACTATGAATATAAATATCTCCATTTAAAATACATCTCATCAACAGACTATGAATAAAAAATGTCCAAAACTAACAAATCATGAAATAATATGTCTGAATACTGTGTAAATAGAAGTTTAAAGAGACTATATATCATGGCTGGAAAGAATAATATCATTAAAATCTAAATATAAATATATTCACTTAAAATACTTCTCATTAACAGACTATGAATATAAATATCTCCATTTAAAATACATCTCATCAACAGACTATGAATATAAATATCTTCTCTTAAAATACTTCTCACTAACAGACTATGATATAAATATCTCCACTTAAAATACTTCTCATTAACAGACTATGAATGTAAATATCTCCACTTAAAATACTTCTCATTAACAGACTATGAATATAAATATCTCCACTTAAAATACTTCTCATCAACAAACTTTGAATATAAACATCTCCACTTAAGATACCTCTCATTGACAGACTATGAATATAAACATCTCCACTTAAAATAATTCTCATCAACAGACTATGAATATAAATATCTCCACTTTAAATACTTCTCATTAACAGACTATGAATATAAGTATCTCCACCTTAAGTACTTCTAAATTAACAGACTATAAATTTAAACATCTCCACTTCAATTACTTGTCATCAACAGACTATGAATATAAATATCTCCACTTAACATGCTTAAAATATTTCTCATTAACTCATCAACAGACTATGAATATAAATATCTCATTAAAAATATTTATCTTCAATAGACATGATAGACTAAGTGCAATTATTCAAAATCTCTTGTAAATCTATAAAGAAAAGTTAAATCTAACCTGAAGTCCTAGTATATAATGAAATGACTTCCCAGTCATTGGTATACCAAAGATATGTCCAAATACCACTCGAGGTACTTCACAATAGTATGGGACAAACAGTGGATAGAGCATACATAGCCTGTAAACAATCAGATACATTCTATAATAACATAACATATAGCCGGAGTTATTTTTTACATTTTAACGACAAATTCCTTATATGGTTTGTGATAAAGTTTGAATATAGGAGAAGGCTTGATTTTTATATGCTTTCTTTCATTCTTCACTTCTCACCTAACTTACTTTGTATATACTTTTCTCTCTATATTTCATTTCACAGATCATGTTGAAAGTAATACATGTATTCATAACTTTCAATGTCCTTACAATGTTGCTTGAATCTGGATTGTAATTGTTTATACAGTTTGAATATTAATTGAAAAAATTTTGAACTTGATCTGTAATTTGTCATGGTAAAACTATATACCAAATAGAAAATCAATATCTCCAAGCATGACGAAAAAAACTGCTGAAAAACTGATTACTAAGGACCATAATTCTGCAAAAAAAATCATCAAAATTCAAACTTGATCTGGTCATGATAAAACTACATACAAGGAAAGAAAATACGCTAGATCTCATTCTAACAAACGCACAAGGTCTAGTTCAGAGGGTAAATGTCCTCCTCGGAATATCAGATCATGATATGGTTTTTACAGAGTTTGACATGAATACCATCAAATTTAAGGAACAAGAAAGACTCATACCACAATATAAGAGAGTAAAGGTTTCAAAGATGACCTTACAGCACTACATAAACAGCTGAGTCAAATGTATAGATCTAAAATCTCAAATGCAAATAATAACTTGGTAAGAATAAAGGACTAAAACATCCAGTCTGATTAAAATCAAACCTCTCACTTGCTATCGTTTATTATGTCGTGCGACAAATAAATAAATGATAGCAAGTGAGAGGTTTGATTTTAATCAGACTGTAAAACATTATATACCAAACAAAAATTCAAGAATAAAAATAAATACCCATGGATAAAAGGAAATCTAAACAAGAGGTTCTTAAGAGCCTGAATCGCTCACCTGAATTTTTTGGCTCAATTCCTTCATCAATCATAATTTATATTTTTGCTTTTTCATGTATATCGGTGTTTGCTTAAAAATTCCACTTAAAATTCTTTGCTTTGGTCATATTTGCTTCAAAATAAAACAAGAGGCTCTCAAGAGCCTGAAATGCTCACCTGTAATGTTTTGCTTAAATCTTTCATCAATGATTATTTTTGCTTTTCAATATATATCAATGAGTGGCTTAAAAATGCCATTTAAATGTTCTTTGTATCTGTCATATTTTCTTCAATAGCAAAAAAAATCCTTTTTTGTAGATCTTACTTTGCAAAATTTCCTTAAAATTACCAAACAATGGGTTGTTGGCTTCGTCTGAAAATTTCAGGGCTGATAGATCTTGAACTATTGAACATTTTTACACTACATCAATTTTCTCTAAATGCTTTAGTTTTTGAGATATAAGCCAAAAACTGCATTTCACCCCTATGTTCTATTTTTAGCCATGGCGGCCATGTTTGTTGATGGATCAAAACTTTGGATACAATTTATAAACTAGATACCCTAAGGGACATTTAGTTAAAGTTTGAAGGTATTTGGCCCAGTAGTTTCAGAGGAGAAGATTCTTGAAATAGTTTGCAACTACGACGACGGACGCCAAGTGATGGCATAAGCTCACATGGGGCCCTTCAGGGCCGGATGAGCTAAAAAGCTCACAAAAAAACAACAACGATTCTACAAAAAGAATGAAGAAAACCCAGGATCCTAAAGTAAAGAAAGAATATAAAGCCTTAAAGAAAGAGGTGCAAAGAAAACAATGAAATGCAAGAATCCTTAAAGAATTATCACCAGGGCTGGTTGATATATCAACAAGAATCCTCAAAGAATTATGACTCAGGCTGGATGGTTTATCACCAAGAATCCTCAAAGAATTATCACTCAGGCCGGATGGTTTATCACCAAAAATCCTCAAAGAATAATCGCTCAAGCCGGATGGTTTATCACCAAGAATCCTCAAAGAATTATGACTCAGGCCGGATGGTTTATCACCAAAAATCCTCAAAGAATTATCACTCAGGCCGGATGGTTTATCATCAAAAATCCTCAAAGAATTATGACTCAGGCCGGATGCTTTATCACCAAGAATCCTCAAAGAATTATGACTCAGGCCGGATGGTTTATCACCAAAAATCCTCAAAGAATTATCACTCAGGCCGGATGGTTTATCATCAAAAATCCTCAAAGAATTATGACTCAGGCCGGATGGTTTATCACCAAGAATCCTCAAAGAATTATGACTCAGGCCGGATGGTTTATCACCAAGAATCCTCAAAGAATTATCACTCAGGACGGATGGTTTATCACCAAGAATCCTCAAAGAATTATCACTTAGGCCGGATGGTTTATCACCAAGAATCCTCAAAGAATTACACAGTTAGCAGGTTAGACAGCCCCTCTTCTACAGTTACTGTTTGCAAAATCCGTAGAAACCGGAGTGGTTCCAAACAACTGGTGTTCAGCAAATGTATCTCTGGTCTTCAAGAAGGGTCAAAAGTATACTGCAGCAAACTACAGGCCCATCTCCCTGACGTCAATATGCTGTAAAGTCATTGAATATATAATTGTATCATCAATTATGACCCATGGTGAAAACAAAATTCTTTACAAGTTACAACATGGCTTCAGGAAAGGCAGATCCTGTGAAACTCAACTCATGGAATTCATTGACGATCTAGCTAACAACATAAACATGGGACAACAAACAGATGCACTGATAATGGACTTTGCTAAGGCCTTTGATAAGGTAAACCACAGCTTACTAGTGAACAAATTACAAGCCTACGGAATTACAGGCAACACAAATACTTGGATAAAGAACTGGCTGAGTGAATGAACACAAACTGTTGTATTAGAAGGATGCAATTCAACATCAGTCCCTGTAGATTCAGGAGTACCACAGGGCTCAGAACTTGGGCCAAGCCTCTTTCTTTATTACATCAATGACTTATAAGAAGACTTAAATGCTACAGTTTGCCTGTTTGCAGATGACAACATCGCCTACCTGACAATAAAATCCCAAAACTGTGGAAAAATATTACAAGAAGAACTAAATAAACTAGCAAGATGGAAACAACTATGATGTATGCAATTCCACCCTGACAAATGTAACATCTTGAGGGTAACAAACAAGAAGACACCAATTCAAACATCATATCATCTCCATGGTCACAACTTGGAAGAAGTACAGGCAGCCAAATACTTAGGTCTCACCATTCTAAACATCCTGAAATGGGATCAACACATACAGCAGATAACGGACAAAGCAAATAAAACACTGAGATTTTTGCAGAGAAACATTAGAATTTCATCAACAAAAGTAAAGAGCCAAGCTTATATTGGACCTAGAATATGCCTCAACTGTTTGGGACCCAACCACAAAATAATCTTTCTACAAAATAGAACAGATACAAATAAGAGCTGCCAGATATGTGACAAATAAGTACAAACAAACTGCTAGTGTCACAGAAATGATAGATGACCTACAATGCAAATCACTAAAACAACGAAGAAAGAAAATCAGACTAGTGATGTTCTATAAAGTAGAGAATAATATGGTAGTGATATCTGAAGAAGGGCGACTCACACCACCAGTGTCAAAGGAGAAATATACATTTTAAAGCATACCAAGTACCACACTCAGGTATTGATGCACATAAGATGTCATACTTACCACAGACTATAAGGGACTGGAACGCCTTACCACCAGACATCCCACAGGCAGAAACACTAGGTGCCTTCAAGGCCCTAGTGTCAAACCTCTAGAGCCTTGGAGGCTCCTACTGTTTTTAGCCAGTTTTATTAAAATTTAAAATTCATTTGTATATAGTTATCTCCATTGGATCACAGCACAAAGGTTACTTACATGAGGTATTCTCCTGCAAAATCGGATCTTGTCAGAAAACAAAATATTCTTATATAGCAGAATCTTCAATTTTTTGAAGGAGGCTATTAGCCGACAGAAACAGAAACATACCAATTATCAAATCAATATCTTCTAGCACGAAGAAAAAAGAGTTGAAAACTGGTTTGCAAGAATGACGGATGGACAGACAGACAGAGTGCAAACCTAAAGTCCCCTTCGGCTTTGCTGGTAGGGGACTCATAAGCTCTTATAGCCTTATCATGCTTATTGTTGGTTAATTGCAACTGATTTCTCTCCTTTAAAATAAGATATTTCAATTTTTCAAATCTGGGAATTATTTTGTTATAAACAAACAATGAGTTCACAATACTGTCATTAACTTGTCAACTTTTAACACTAAAATTACTTATTATCAAGTAATGGAAAAGGTTAGAGAAATTTTTATAATTTTTCCTCAAAGGAAGAGATTTGACATCCTAAACATCTAAAGACTAGTCTTCAGGAGATCTCCAAATTATTAAAAAATATAATGATTGACACCTATGTTTAGCTTTCTTCTTACATCTATATTTGCTATAGGTTAGACATACAGATTCACCAATAAAACATGACTTACGGTCCTGAAGGCAATGGCTGTAATTTTATCTGTAAATGTTGGAGTAAATACATCACAGATAATTCTAAGGCTGTTGATATAATAGCTGTTGACAACAAATAGGACTGAAAATTACAATAAAATATAATCAAAGTAATGCAAATTTAAAATGTAAGCCACAAAAAACTGCTGTTTCTAAGATTAGATTAAAAAAAACAGTTTTCAGAGCTAAAATTCCTTCCTCTCATTCAATTTTTCAATCTATAGGTATAAAATTTTAATTGAAAAAATATAAGATATAAATTATAATGATTGTTTACATTATTTATCCTACCTACACATGACCTACATGGGTTAATGTAAGAGAATGTAGATATTCATTACATAAATAACATCAATAAAAACAGCTGATGGATATAAGTCAATGCCGCTGGTTTTCTTACTTAAAGCTCACAATATATAGGGTTTCTGCTGTATATATATATATATATATTTCCATTTTTAGATACTTCTTCATGTTCTTGTAATTTTAAAAATAAAAAAACCCAATATATTCTTTAATAAACTGATGATGATTAAGAGGTTAATGCATAGACACCTGTCTATTGAAGACTGTATGTAGCCCTCAAGATGGCTTTTGTTGTTATTTTCATGGTTGAGTTTCTGTTTCATTGGTTTTTACTTCATATCTCTTTTTACTCATATATTTAATTAAATAACATTAAAAAATAAAATGTAAAAGATAAACATGATAATAGGTATTCAAGTGGGTGGTAAACATAATTTACTATATAATACCTTTAATAGTAATAATGAAAGTTATTGGGTTTCTGCTGTACACTTCTTAGAATTTTAACATTTTCTATTCTAAATGGAAATCAGAAATGAGAGCATTTTATACATAAGTAAAGGAACCAGTAAGGCTCCACTTATCTCAAAGTGATGTACATAATTAAATTGTTTTAAATGTAAAAATTAAATATAATTCTATCCATCTACTATTAGAAAGGGATATAAATATGCTTTAACCAATCTCATTGTTTAAATATACATGATCTAACAATTAAATCCTACAATACAATAGCTACCGGTCCCTATTTGTATTTGGGCATATAGTTAAATGGTTAAAGGAGACTCAACACAATTACTTTTGACATACCGCTACACACAATGTATATGAGAAGTAACAATGTCTACCTACCACAAATTTTCTTGAACCATATCGCCTCTCAAATATTCTAAAGTAGTACACTAAAATAGAACAGCAACACATGTCTTTGAGATCCAAGTAAGCTACCTTTGATGAAAATATTCTCCATAACTGAAAAATAAAGAAAAATATAAAGAAAAGTGTCTACAAAAGTAGATGAATTTAAATTTGATATTGAACAAGGTTTAAACATTAAGTAAGTGTCTTAGGAATCCTGTATATTCATAACATAATGGGGATCGTCAGTATAAAAAAACAATCTAAATAATGTAAGTCATTAAAGTTTGACATAAGTAAACAATTGACTTTACAGGACAGATTTTCATGAACCCACAAAATTTTAATACTTAAAAATCTCATTTAAACTAGGATGAAACAAGTATTTCATTCAAATAAAATTCAAAAAATTGTAAGGATCAAAATTTAGATTGTGTCTGTTGCTGTCACTATAACTTACATGTATATTTTACTCTATACATACACTGATGTAAAAATGGTCAAACTTAATGACAATCTGTAGGTACCCATATTTTACTCTATACATACACTGATGTAAAAATGGTCAAACTTCATCACAATCTGTAGGTACCCATATTTTTGCATCGCACATATGTTTTTTCTCTAACTGTTAAAGATGTCTTTACACTAAATCCATTGGATGTTGGATGTGCACTGATTGATATTTAGTCTTAGATACATGATATTTTTATTAGTTGTCATTGGCTTTGAACTAGCTTTCAGTAACTGCCAGTACTCTCAGATCTGTAATTTGCATCTTCTGTGTTTTTGGTAGCATTTTTTTTGTGCTTTGTATTGAGCCCTTTACAACTGATGTTTATAGTTTGTTGTACTGTTATACTACTGTCCCAGGTTAGGGGGAGGGTTTGGTGCCAGCAAATATGTTTACCCTGCCACATTGTGTATGTGATTATCCAAAGTCAGGAACCTGTTATTCAGTGGTTGCTGTTTGTTGCTGTATATCATATCTGTTTTTTGTTTGTTTTGTAAATAAATCAGGCCATTAGTTTTCTCGTTTCATTTGTTTTACATTTGTCATTTCCGGGCCTTTTATAGCTTACCATGTGGTAAGGGTTTTGTTCATTGTTGAAGGCCGTACAGTGATCTATAGTTGTTCACTTCAACGCCATTTGGTCTCTGCAGCTGGTGGAGAGTTGTCTCAATGGCAATCATACCACATCTTCATATCATTGTATGTTCAAAATTAGTTTGAAAAATAAATACCTGTTGTTTTTCTACAATTAGTTGTGGGTTATACCAGAAATAATGTCTGTATTGTTGAAATGGAAAGTTCAAGGCAAATGATGATAATAATGTAGCAGTTAGTAATCCTTTACTGGATGGCGATTTGTCTAAAAAATACAATCAAAATCACTTTCTATCTTTACATGTATCATAATAAATATATGTTTTATAACATAACTATCTTCATTAGCCATTTAATGATAATGTATTTATCATTCGCTTATCAATCTTTCTTTTAGGAAAACAGAGTTCAGATTTAATCAAGCGTATTTTTCTACTTTGACTTTTATTGATCCATTATTCAGTTATTATTCATGTTATTCGGGAAGACATCAAAGAAAAAACTAAAACAGACTTCAATGACTTCATACACTGTATATATTTTTCTGAGACGCCTTCCTACAAAATTAAAATAGACTTTCAAGACATCATAATTATTTGAGCTATGACGGATCGACATGAAAGCAATAATTTATAACAAAATCCTAAGTGAAACTTAAACGAACTTTCAAAAACCTAAAACAGAAACAATTTTGCTCTGAAATATAATTAAACTAGCAAAGAGTTTTTTCTGTTCCCTATTTTTAAATAGTGCAATCCCTGGTAACAAGCTGACAATGTCATGATGTACTATTTCCTAAATGCAACACTAATAAACAATGTGGAAAGACGCTTATGGCAACACTACATGCTCGTTTCCTTGTGACGATTCATAAAACTTACAAAATCCAGTGGTTCCGTGTAACGGTCCCATAACACAGAAATTTTTAATTAACCGTCAAACATGCAAGGAAGCTTTCTAGTTTCTTTAGTGTTTTCTCAGTATTTACGGAAATTCTCTGCATTTCCGAAAAGAAAGTTAAGAAATTTTACGTCTTAATCAATCACACGTTTGTAAGAAAGCATATTTGGTGCTACAAGTAAGAGCTTTTCTAAAAAGCTAGCCGTCTTTAGCTGATGAAAGTTGGAAAAATTCTGAAAGAACGAAAAGTTCCTGGCAATCTCAAATCTGGAATTCTTACACCAGTATTGAAAAATGGAAAAGAAGCATCTATTATGGACAATTACAGAGGCATTACAGTGACGCCTATTATCTCCAAGCTCTTTGAAAGTTCCATCCTCCCAGATCTTTCCAAAATCTTCTTGCTTTCTACTCTCCAATTTGGCTTTACAGAGGGACTTTGCATGCTAATGACCGCTTTTATCATCAATGAAGCGCGAGCTGAATCCAAACATACAACATTAGATTCATTATTTCTCATGACAGTAGATAGTAAAAACGCGTTTGATGTAGTAGACCACATTATAATGATGGACAAATTCTATGAAAATATTCCAAATAGCTCATTATGGACAGTTATCAAGGATTTCTATTCGGGTCTTACATCAAAAGTCAAATGGAAAGGTATCCTCAGCCACTCTTTTGGCATCAAACAAGGAATAAGACAAGGAGGAGTACTGTCACCCTTTCTATCTAAAATGTATGTGAATGACCTCCTTGAGGACCTAAAAACACATAATATCGGATTAAAAATTGGAACAACCTACGTAGGCTGCCCAACATGTGCAGACGATATTGCTTTCTTGAGTAGCGACCCGTCAGAACTTCAAACAATGGTATCTACCGCTATCTGGCATTCTAAACAGGACCGGGTAACGTTGCACCCTGAAAAAACTAAAGCTGTCATTCTCAATAAATCCGCAAAAATGGATAGATCAACACTAAGTTGGACATTGGACAACACCACCATATATCCTTCCAAAGAAACAACCCATCTGGGAATCATAAGATCAGAACTAAAAGAAAACGACCTTAATATTGATGCTAGAATGAGCATAGCCAGGAGAACACTTTATTCTCTTATTAAAACCGGAGTACATGGAACTAATGAATTAAACCCGGCAACATCTTATAAAATCTACCAGTGCTATGTTTTACCAAGACTGATTTATGGATTGGAAATTTTACCACTAAACAATTCCCAGATGGACAAATTAAATATATTTCATTTAAAGAACTTGAAAAGCTTCCAATCTCTACCTATCAGGACAGCAAACTGTGCAGTATTATTACTTATCGGAGCATTGCCCCTTGAGGCAGAAATACACAAAAGGCAACTGACATTCCTCCATAATATACTTTCATGCGAAAACAGTACAATTAGGGATCTCTCTGAGCGTCAAATCCTCATGAATATGCAAAATCCAATAAGCTTCTTTAACAGGATCCAACCGCTTCTATCAATATATCAACTACCAGAGATAACTTCTCTCCAACAACGCTTGCCCACTAAACTATCGTGGAAATCTACAGTCAAATCATCTATCCGAGAGTTCTGGACACAAAAATTAAAATCTGATATATCACAAAAATCTACCTTAAAACATTTAAGTCAAAACTGCCTAACCTTTGGATCCACTCACCCATCCTGGAGCAGTCTAAATTCAACTATCTCAGATATAAAAAAAGGCACTGTAAAAGCACGACTAATTACTGGAACATATCTCTTACAAAGTCTAAAATATAAATATTCTGGAGGAAAGGAAGCACCTACTTGTAAATGCTGTGGATTGAGCGATGAAGATGAGATTCATTTCTTGCTAGACTGTCCGGCTCTATTTAAGCAAAGAAAAGAAGCTTTTCAAGAACTGAAAATGTATACAATAAACATCATTGGGCCACAAACTTGGAAAAACACTTTCTCAAAGAAACAAGATATTGTACAGCTTGTAATCGACTGTAGCCACTTCTGTGCATTATTCAAGAAGGAGGACATTATCAATATCCATAATCTTTCGACAAGTCTATGCTATAAACTTCATACACATAGAATCAGACTTTTAAAGTAATAACTCAGATATATAGGATACAAGGAGATGATCATAAACTGACATCGTATATAATGTGGCTACTGAACAGTGCTTTGCCAAATTTTTGTATGTATGTATATAGACAGATAAACAGGGAGAGACAGGGTATTCTTCCCGCTTAACTTATACTGTATAAAGTATCCTTGTAGATTTTAAGTTTATTCCCGCTTAACTTTTACTGTACAAAAGTATCCTCTTAGATTTTAAATTTAGTCGTATATATAAATTTTAAAATTAATTCCCCCTATTTATACTGTTTAAAAGTGTCCTTTTAGATTTTAAATTTATTAGTATAAATAAATTTTAAAATTGTGTGACACATTTCAATACACATACAGAGCTGTATGTGGTGTTCCATGAATGGAAGGATATCCATGCAATAGAAGAAGAAGAAGAAAGTGGAAAATGTTTTCGCTTTGTAGTTTAATTCATTCAGAATAGCCTTCTATATAAATTGTAGTGGATTACAAAACTTATAAAAGGCTTATACAATTTTTTAGATTTACCAATATCTTTTTTGGGGGAATGTATAAATACTGGAAACGGAGGAGTAATGTCTTAATCATCTGCGTACTTTGTAGCAAACTTTTGAAAATATCTTTTTGGCACTGGCTACGGTTACATGGAAATGTAACAATAATATAAAAATTATTGTTACATTGGAGACTAATTGCCGGAATGCAGGGTTGGGTAAGGAACCGATTAATTACGAATGTAACAATAATATTTGGGTCTACGGTTACATTGCGTTATTGTTACTTTAAGGTGGCTGGAGTGTCTTCCTCCATCTTGGATTTTGAAAAGCAGATAACAATCGGTCTAGATCTTTAATGAAATGTGCAAATTTCGAGAGTAGTATGTAATTCATGTGTAAGACTGTTCGTGTTAGTATAGAAAATTATGTGTTTTATCATATTTTACGGCTGTATTTTACAAACAGTAGAATATATTTTTTTATTCAATTTTTTTCAACTGTGCCACATAAGGGGAGATAACTCAGATAAAGTACTTTTATAATAGAATGTGTTATGAATTTACCTATTCTATAATGTAGCAAGAAAACGAGTTCGGTGACCCCACTTTTTCTTTTTCTTATCTGAAAGCATATTATTAGAGCTATCTTCTCATATTTTATCTTAAAATTCTATGGTTTAGTTTTCTTTTTATCACAAAAAAATGGGTTTTGCATGCATAATCTATACAAAATATGACAATTTTGCACAACCTGTAGCTCGAAAAAAAGCCCGGTGACCCATACTTTTTATTGTATTTTTGAAAAAAGCCGGACATAAACTACTTTTTGACAAATTATTAAAAAATTCTATGGATTTTAATTTACACCCCCCATCTACCTTAAAGACTGCAATGTATGAAAGATTTATTAAACTTAAACCTTCTATAGTTATGTTGCTTAATTCTTCGATATGTACTAGATAATATTAATAATAATAATATTATTCAGCGAATAAGTATTGATTGTTTTGGTGTTGTTAAAAATCATGACTTCTACAGTTTAGTTCAATATCACTATTGATGAATTATACTTAATGAACTGTTCAATAGAGCATGTACTGTCACGACTGATAAGATCACAAAATATCTGGACTCTGAAAATGAAAACACTGTTTCCACCAATTTCAATCTGTCGGCAAATGTCAACATCAATTGCTTTCACAATTGACTTGTATTTAAACAACCTAACATGCTTCCAAAAAAAAATTTGGACGAAAATGTAAACATCGCAAGAGTAACAAATATTTTTCACCTGAAGCATGGCATTCAGACATTGAAAGTTTCTTAAACTTCATAAAGGAAAAATGCAGAATGGAATTGTACGGTATGCAATATAGAGCGTGCATATTGTCGTATCACTGGTTTGTGATGGCTGCTTAGAGTGGTTTCACCGAAAATGCGTCGGACTAAAACATGCTCCAAAAACAACATACTGGATTTGTAGAAACTGTCATTGTAAATTAAAAATCAAAATATTGTATGCAATATTGTAAATATCAAATAAAAGTTTTCAAGTTTTATTTTAATACATATTTATTACTATTCCCATCGTACATTTCAGTGCGTTAATGTAACAATAACGCAATGTAACCGTAGACCCAAATATTATTGTTACATTCGTAATTAATCGGTTCCTTACCCAACCCTGCATTCCGGCAATTAGTCTCCAATGTAACAATAATTTTTATATTATTGTTACATTTCCATGTAACCGTAGCCAGTGCCTATTTTTTTTTTATTTCCAGTTTTTTCTGATAGATGGACTTAGTTTTTACACTTAACATTAACAGACGGTCTGGTATTAAACTTTTGACATTTGACATTTTTAAACCTTCATGGATTGTTATGAAATTTGGACATAAGCCTATCTTCAAGACCAGGAAAAAGCATCTAAAGAAAAGTTTGAAATTTTTTTAAATTCTTTATACTCATAAATGGACTCACTTTTTAAGTCAACATTACACCTTTACACTGATAGCAGCAATCGCAGGCGAGACACAGAGTTCCGCAGAACCCCTTTAGCCCTTATGATTTTTTTGTTATTAAGATATTTTTGTACATGTATTCACAACTATGCTATATATTGACATATATAAATGTTCTACAAGCAGGTTCAACATGCAAGCTAATAAAGCTACTTAAATCACTAGTTTGAGTGCTGGCACAGAATTTCACAAGGTAGTATGGGTTAATTATCACATTGATTAAGTTTATATCCAAACTAATGTTAAATAGTTCTAACATTCTAAGACACTGCTCACGTACTAATTTAAAACGATTTTCTCTTTCCGGTTCTAGATGAGTACATGAGATAAGGAAATGCTCTATATATAATCTTGTCCTCTTTATTAAAAATTTTACAGGTGGCAGATACCTCACATTTGTTGAATTCGGTTCTATTAGATTGTAGTATGTAATTTCCTGTTGCAATTTTTGTTCTAATAGGTATTCTGTTGATGTCTCTTGTAGTTTGAGGTGTTT